TCCACTCGACGCCAGTCTTCAATGTCCCCAAGCGATCTAACCCCAATGAGTTCGCCAGATGCAGGAAATATGCAATATATGGGAACCGCGCGTTCGTTTCAACAGAGAATCAGCCCACTTGCAAATCTTTCCAGGCCTCCAGCTGATGGACCAATAGACTGCGAATATCTATTTTTACCAGGATATAGAGACAGCAGAAAGGTCGCTGCAGGATGTGCAGTTCCCCAGAACTACCAACAGTGCCCTATATGTGGGACTGATCAGGCGATACAGTGTCTTCTCCTCCAAACCCCACGCGACTACAATGGCACACACCATGTTCCACAGGCCAATAGCTGTGCCGAACACCGCTATCCAATGGTCTTGGGTAGTTACCCCGAGACGGATGTAATTTTGCCTCTGTCAGCGTGTGATGCTTGCGCTTGGATACTGCTCCAGGTTAGAGAACTGCCAAATGGTCAGCGAGTTGATGCTGCACTGCCGCTGGTCTCTCTCACCAAGGAGGTAAACCGACGGCAATGGGTTCGAACACTTGACCGAATTTACGAACGCCGCTTTCATGAGAGCATCATTCTCTACGTCTTTCTCTCTTCCGTTTGCTTTAAGATGAAAGACATATCTAAAGATAGGGAGATCGCCTCTAGCCTAATGGAGTATCTTAAGTGGTGCTCCGAAGCAATAAGCCGACTTCCTGGCGAGCCTTGGAAGGCTGGTCTTTTACCGGCCCCAGAATCGACCCCGACTGCCAATCATAGATTACTGACGTTACAAAGAGTCTTTAGAACAGCTTTCCCTCATTATCACACCACCAGTCGGCTTGAAAGCTTCCTACATTACCCCATTGAGGGGTCCGTCGTTTTTGTCCGCATCGCCAGTCAGATGGAGACCATAGCTCCACACATGATTGAGCTCTACGTGTGGAAGCGGTTGCTTTACCAGATAGCCGAACATTACGCAGCGTTGCGCAGAGAGGAAGGGCCCGAAGAGGCTGATATACGCCTCAGAGCCACACTCGGTGAGTCATTCCCTTTCACTCCTGGATGGGAGATGGCAGTCAATACTGACTTATTAGTAGAACAGCTTCCATCACCTTACTCAGTTTCCGTGGCCCAGCTGGGTAGCCATCTCCCATCGCTTGATCAGTTCAGACGCCTGGATAATTACTTTGCGCCCATTGAGACCACGACCAAGTACAATGCTGCTCTGGCTGTCTTCCTGCACATCATGCGGAAAGTCTCGATTCTACTCCAGCATAACCACCCTGAAGTGGGATTGTTTATCAAATACATAGAGGACTATGGGCTCCAGGTACAGCAGGCAGACAACCAATTCTGCAACGTATTCGATGAACCAACGCTGGTTGGAGAAGGTGACGTTGAGAAGATGGTCAAGGATGTCTATGAGTTGCACTGAGGGAAATGGATAGGGGATGCCTTTGCTTTTTGGATCACTAAAAGGATATCATGGTAGTATGAATATCATCCTTGAGTCTATTGAAACCTACATTCTAGTGAACCTCGTAGTTGCACTTGCACACTGTTACTTCCTATGAATCAATCTCCATAAAAGCGAAGGAGAGGAGATGTCCATATCTATTCCCAACCACCTAACTAAACCAAACACCCAATATCATACATACACCACTAAATAAGAACAAAACTCATGCCCACAACTCCCCAAACCCAACATACAAATCCCTCTTCCCAACCTCCACGCCCTCCATCCTCACAATCGCATAGGCAATATTCAAATGGAAATAAATATTCGGCAGGACCATGGTATGCGCATACGTCGCATTCGTCACATCGATCTCGACCCCGGGTCCCGCGGGCGCAGGCTTGACCGTTTCGGCATTGGCATTCACCACATCGATATCGGCATCTTTCAGAAGTTCCAGCACTTTGTCGATGCGCTCATAGCACTCCGCGAAGGATTGCGGGTTACCCTCTGGTAGGAAGCTTGTAGGGAGAGTTTCTGCCTCTGGGTGGTTGGTGAGACGGGCGTAGAGACGGACGGAGTTGGATGTCACGAGGCGGATTTGGTCAGTGAGGGGGTACATGGTTGGATGGAGGCGGGAGTTGAGGAGGGAGGATGGGTTGGGGTGGGTGCGTTCGGCGGTGCGGAGGAGGTGGAGGAGGGTTTTGAGGATGCTGGTGAGGATGGGGAGGGTGGTGGCGTAGAGGGTTGAGGTTTGTTTTGGGGGGGACATTTTGGATGGTTATTATGTGTGTAAATAATTGGACGGTTGGATGATTGATTGATTGATTGTGGTTGGGAGTGGTTGTAGTTGACTGTATTTATGTAGTCTGGTGAGTGAGTGAGTGAGTCACTGTGATGGATGGATACAGGATGCTTATGTAGTGGATGGTGGAACTACTAGTGTCGTGGTTAAAATCTCACATCAGAGACAAAGTGGATATAGTCTCGTATTATAGTGTTTCATAGCCACAGTTCTCCGAGATGGTTGTTGTGTTTGTCGCAGGAATCAATTGTCTGTTGATGCTATTTCAACTTGGTTACTATATCATGCTTATAGCTATATGCATTACGAGATGGATTGGTAATTGGGAGAATGTATATCAGAGCTCTTTGCAAGATTACTATATCTGTTCAAATCGTATCCCGACCAGCGGTGACACTGACAATGCACTATACTTAAGTCTGCTGAAGATACAGCCCTACGACACCCACTGGGGACACACCCGCTTCACAAAGTTCATAAACTTGAAGAACCCGACCGCATGCTCGACGTTGCCATACGGATCGACCACCCGCTCCGGGAAAGCGATGCCCGCCCCATACAGACCCCGGACAACGCGGCCGTTGGAGTCGCGGAAGCCTCCCGAAACCGGGTCGAACTCGGGCTCCAATGAGGAGCCGTTGATGGACAGCTCTGGCAGCGGGTCCCGCGTGAAGCCGACGGCCTGTACCAGGTACGAGCACGAGGGCAGATGCCGCTCATACTGTGCTTGCTCCTGGTTGTCGCCGCAGTAGACCTTGGTGATGAACCGGCCAGCCTCGGAATGTGGCAGCTTGTCATCCTCCAGTTGCTGACGGGCAAAGTCGGCAGCAGACCCCTTGAGTCCGGTGTTGTCCCGGAGGATCCAGCCGTCCATGAATTCGGCATACCGCAGGGAATGCCGCGTGAACCACTTGATACGGAGCTCGGGATGGGATGTGCGAGCCAAGTCTACCAGGTTGAGGAGGGCTAGGATGGCGCTATGCGACGCTCCTACTACAGCGACGGTCAAGGGCTTGTCTCGGGGAAGATGCGACACCAGGTCGCTGGGCTTCAGTACGAGATCCAGGTCCAGCCTTTCGATGTGGTGCCCGGGAATAGATATAGAGACCTCGGTTGGGGAAGACCCTGTGCACACGACGAGTCGAGGCGTCAGCACCTCGACTTCATCCTGCGAGTCCTGCAACCGGATGCGAACGGTCCAGGTAGCAGTCTATGTCGACGGTCAAATGTTAGCGATGCGGGATGCTAATTGGCTCCTAGAGCTCTATAACTGACTTTCTCGGCCAGGTTGGCAGCTGTGACAACTCCTCGACACGGCAGAACCCGTTCCATCTTTGTGATGCCATCGGTAAGAGCACGAACCACATCAATAGCATGATGCAAATGACAGGTTTTATTTTGGTCGAGTTTGGCCATCGTCGTGAATGGGTTGGGGATACGAGTGTTTTCGATTACAGTGCGGAAAGGTTGAACGGCCGTAGCGTACGCCTGAAAATAGCACACCTTGGTATTGCTGATTGAGCCAACAGAACCAGTCAGCAGGAGTGTTCTTCTGGCACCCTGAAGCTCGTTCTGACGACCAGACCGAGGATTTGCTCACCTAGGAACCTCGCGGTATCTCTGGTTTATCCGGCCACCTTGGAATAACGGGTCAACCCAGGCAATCTTCCCTCCAAGTTGTTTCTCCAGGAGATTTCCCACAACCGCCAGACCGGCTGGACCGGCTCCCACAACGACAGCAGCACATTTCTGGGGTTGAGCCATCCTCAAAATGCTCATATAGATGGGGTGGAGGAAATAATAGCAGAAAGTCGGGATATCACAAATTCACAGGGCTGAAAAAAAGGTGGTTGTGACAATCGAAGCGTGATCTCAAGAGAGCGGGAGAGGCATTTATGGGGATGGGAGTTAGAACGCCAGGGGAGCTGGGTCGTATTGCCGGCGTAATTCTCGGCGAAACAGGCGAACGAGAATCAAGGCCATGTTTTGGCGGGAGAGGGGAAGCCACGAACACAACACCATGAATGACCGCTGAGAATGGGATAGCCGAGTACCCCGAGGGCCTAGATAGGATAGGCAGATGGGAAGATAGCCGATCAGCCAGTCAATCAACTCCAAATTCGAGTCACGGCGCAGGAATACTGCGCAGAAACAAAGTCTCTCGGGCGAGATAACGCATGATGCCTCCGCCACTGCCGGTCAGGCGGTGATAACCGCACTGCTCACTGGTCACACTGAGTGTATCACCGCTTCTCGCACGACTGACCGGTTGTTGCGCAATCCAATGTGGCCAGCCCCACCCGGATTCGCTCCTGGAACATCCTGGGCCGCTTTCCGTCGGCAGTCACATTCTGTCGTCTTGGCTGGGAATGAAGGAGGGCCGCAAGGCGTAGAGGAGTCGGGGGGAAGGTCACCGTCAAGTAGGGAGCAACATTGAGCTCTTGTCTGGTCAATTGACGGGACTGTGTCTTCCAGTTTGGTCCAAGGAAGGAAGACAAAACTAGCGTTGCTGGTGATGGAGGAAGAGAGCGACCTTATATTCAAATGCGTAGATGACGGGATTGGGTGGTCTTGGCGCAATTGCGTGATCGCCTTGGGGAATGAGGTGATGCTCTCTACGGCCTGATTTGGCAGGCTACCATCTATAGTACTACCCAGATAGTATACCCAGTCTATCGATAGCCGATAAGGATGTATAGTTAGTTACAGCTGCTTAGTAAATAATCCCCAGCAATAACTAACTAACTAGTTTAATTCGTTCATAACTACATATCTGCTTACTGCTATTCAGAGATTTACTTGTTTCTAGTTCTGCACCGTGCACTCTAAAGATGCTGCTGACTTAGGATCCCCGCATTAGACCGCCCAAAACACCCGCACTGACACTCGCTGCACATGGTTCGACCACCCTCCAAACCGTGCCCGACCCCAGACAGCAATCGCATCTCCAATCTCCAGACTGCGTACTTGGCTTCCATCCAGCGTGGCTCGTCCCCGTCCCTGAGTTCGTTCAATTTCCTCCGCTTCACTCGAGTCCGGAGCGATATCATCCTGGTAGTGCCAAACAATAGTATGCTTTTGCGAACCTGGCACGGCCGTCTTATTCGACTGTAGCTTATGAGCCGTTGGCAGCAAGTTAGGATGGTCGGGCCCAAAATGGAATGGACCCTGTGGTGGAGGCTGATTATTTGCATCTCGCTTCTGATGTGCTGAGTGAATGACTTCGGTATCAAACCACGAATAAGAGCCCCCGTATTGGCCGCGAGATCCTGGGCCGCCACCCCATCCCTGATCGTGAGATTCAATAGTAAAGATGATCTGGCGGCATGGATGAGTGGTCCGATGGGGCAAAGGCTTTGGAGACGGAGTATTCAAGGTCTAGTGGTTTGAACACGGTGTCAGCAGCAATAACCCGAATGAAAAAGTCTCCGGCTGGAGTGAGACGCATGCAAAATGCCACAGTAGGCCAAAATTTCCAACTTACCTGCACATCATAGCACAGAGGTACCGTCGTTAGAATATTCTGATCCTGATCTTTCCTGATAACAGTCTCTCCTTCCAGGACGGACTCAGAAGAAGCCCAATACTCGGCTGCGTCCACAATCATATCTACAATTTCAGCTGGCAGCAACTCTTGCGAGTTCCTAGTCCATTGCCAGATGTGCTGTAGTAGATACCGAACCTTCAAAACATCGAAACAACTGGGATAGTATGTGTCGCCTTCCGGGGAAGAGTCCTTGTTATCCTCGTCTGGTGGGGTGCTTGTATCGTTGTTGTTGTTGGGGGGCCGGTTTGGTCGTCGCCTCATAGCAAGCCGATTGACTAGAGGCAACATCATTATGTTTGTAGCCTGCGAGCTACTTGAAAGGGCCTCCTTAAGTTTGCACCGTTACAAACCTAACGTTGGCTCGTGCGAAACGACAGACTTAGAAACGGTCGTAGTTCGGTATCGAATCTAATTGTTGCCTTGACGAGATTAGCCAACGGGCCAACATAAGACAGCTACAGATTAAGGAGAGTTGCTCACTCAAGACAAGCTCATCTCAATGGTTGGGCTCAGGCACCAGTCTGACTCAAGTGATGTCGGTCAACTTAGTGTAACCGTTTTGATCTCACCCCGCCTTCCGGGCAGAATGATAGAGGGGGAGGAGAGATACAGTAGGCACCACACGCGATGGTTAAAATATGGAACGAAAAGTCTATCAATGATTTGACTAAAACTAGCATTCATAGGAATATGTTACATGTCGGTTTACAAGAGAAGAGTGCTGCATATGTGAAGGGCGATAGCAGTGATTGATATCGCCAGGAGAAAGGCGGCGCAATCGATAGGTGACGTCATGGGCGTGTTCCTGAAAGGGCCAAAGTTACATATCGCGTACAGCAGAACAGGCACAATACAGACAGTTCACAACCGATGAATTAGCATGCAACAGATGGATATCTACTTAACAAGTCTCGTATCAATTGGCTTTTTGACATGCAAAATACACCCATGAAATAGAATACAGATAAAAAACGCCAGCAAGCTCACATCCCAGTCCATTAATCGGTCTTCCCCTTCTTCCACCCACCAGCGGCTTTGTAGGCCGCAGCACGCTTGCTGCTCCGGTTGTTCGGCTTGCCCTTGGAGCCACGGCTCTTCGTCTTGACCCGAATGTGCGAACCTTCAGTGGCCCGATGGCCTTCGAACACCAAGGAGTTCTGCGAGATCGACTTCTGCGCATCCGCCTTCACCTTGGCTGCACCGGCCCGGCCAAAGAGTCTACCAGCGCGACCTTGCAAGGTCTTGTCTGCCTCACCAAGCGTCTTCTTCTGGCCACCGCCGTCTGAACGCTTCTTCAGAATCTTCTTGGCCCGGGACACGCGGAGCTTGCGGGGAAGCATAGGCGGGTAATGCTTTCCATTGAGTACAAGAGCCTCCTCGACACAGTTTTGATCATAGAATTGAACGTAGGCAAATCCTTTGCCGACACGAGTGAGGCTGTCGCGAACCACACGGACTGATTCAACATTTCCATTCTTGGGCTTCTCCTTATTCGAACGACCGGTGTGAGCGTTGAAGGTCCGCCAGAGACCTTCTTCAACATCTGCGGGGGCTCGCTTTTTCTTCTTCTGCTCATCGTCGGGTTTGACCTCGTTGTCGACAAAGTCCAGGTTACCAACGAAAACACACCGTTTGTGGTCGATCGGGGCAGGATGCGCGACACTGTCAACACGCAAATGCCGGTCCAGAATCACGGTACCGTTGAGCGCAGCGGGCGCCTTGCGCGCAGCTTGCACAGTGCTGTAGACGGCATATGCGTTGGTGCACGGCGTCGTATCATCCAGTACTTCTTGCTTGGCAAAAGAGGCTCGCTTGGGGACTCCGCCACCACTGGAAAATGCCGTGGAGCGGAAGCGAATAGATTCCACCTTGTGAGGTCCAGTAGACTCCGGAAGCGTAGAGAGGAAAGATGCCAGGTGTTTGAGGAGGGTCTTTTTAGCTGACTTGGACTTGATCGCCTCACTCGAGACATTGCCCAAGAACACGGTCCGGTTGGACTTGTCCAATTCCTTCGACTCGGCATCACCAGTCTGGCTCTCGTGCTTCGGGACGACCTTCTTTTCCTCCTCTTCAGAACTCTCCTCCTCCTCCTCATCATCTTCTTCCTCAGATTTTTCGGCATCCTCTCCTTGCTCACCCTCTACCGTCTTCTGTCGCTTCGCCTTCTCTTCCCGTCTCTTTTCATCCTCCTTCTTCTGCTCCTTTGCGATGCGACGCATGTATGAGTCTTCGACATCTTCTGCAGTGGTCCTCTTGCGTTTGCGGCTGGGCGCCTCGGCGGCTACCTCAGCCTTTTCGCTGCCCTCATCGGTCGATGCTTCCGGGGCTTCCTGCATCTCCTCGTCCTCGGGCAGAGATTCGTCTTCCAAGGAGAGCACATCTTCGCCATCTTCATCCTCGTCATTTTCGGCAGTGCGCTTGCTTGATTGGGGAGCGGGAGCGGCGATTGCGACGGAAGGAGCTTTTACTGGGCCAGCCTAAATATGCCCCATGGGGCCATGTTAGTTCAAGATATACTGGCGAAGCAGAAGGTGTGTTTACGCACACTTGTCTCAAACAGGGCAGCTAGAGTAGGATCAATGGAGGCCTTTGCCCCCAAGAGAGGAAGAGACTTGTCTGACTTTCCCATAATGATAGAGGCCTAGGGATCCAGTCCCTTTCGAAAATCGGAGAAAAATGTAAGATGGAAAAGCTGACAGGCCTGTAACTGTCAAATTTCCGTATTGTCTGCGCTTGGCGTTTCTGTTCTGATATTTCCTACTTTTTTTTACTTTTTCCTCTTTTTTTTTTCTGGGTCTCGGCGATAGGCGCCGGATCAGTCACGTGGGGACTGATAGCGGTCCAACTGATGAAGGGGCAATGGAAGTCTCAGCCACAGGGAAATGAGATTTTGATAGTGGACTTCAATGAAATGACCCTATATCAACCTGAAAATATGACAATTACCTTTGAAATTCCTGTTGTCCTCAATTGAGCGAGACACCGAGGATGATAAGATGGTCGCACGTCAAGGCGGTGAGACTGCACGGGGCGCGGCAACAATACAGCCGGCAGAACGCGATACAGGCGGTATACGGGAAGAGGAGCAGCGAAAGGGAAGCGGCCGACCAGTCAGTGAATCAATCTCCATCATTGCTGCTGCTGCTGCTGCTTTGCTGCTCTGCTGCTGCTCTGGTTCTTTCTCCCTCCGCCGCCGCCTCTCCTCCTCTTTTCCTCTCACCTCCAAGCTGCCATCGCTTCCCTAGCGCTTCAGACTTGGTGGTCTTTATCTCCAGACTTTTTTTCCCACACTACTCGCTCGCTTTCTGCTGGTTTCAACAATTTCCCCATCCAACCGTCTACCCTCCTCTTCCATGCCGCCCATCCTCCCGCTACGCTGCACAGTCGTCTTGCCCGCTTCGTGAGCGTTGACTTTCACCACATCCTCCTACGTACAATACTTCCTCTCGACGAGAGTTTGCTTGCGCGGATTCTGGCGAGTGCATTCATACTACATATTGGTCAATACTTCCGAGTTCTTCTGGCTTGCTCCTATCCTGTCTCCGCGATCGCGGTGGTTCAGGGAACCGGACTCGGTCGCGGCAGGTGCGTCTTACGAGTTTCGCTGCTGGCGCATTACTGAACGGTATGTTCTTCGAGGCTTTTCTTATGGATACTTGGTTGGTGCCAGATACTCGCGATGTTGTCACGGCTCTGGGACCTCGAGACAGCGCCCTGAGCGTTGCAGTTGGGTCGGCGCAGTTCCCAGAGCCCAAACCGGGAGCGAAAGTCACTTTCGCTCCGTCTGGGGTGTGATCAGAACCTCCGCACCGCCTTTGGCAACCCTCTTTCTCCCCTCTCATCCTCGACATTTTCCCCTTTCACTCTTCTCCCCAGCTAATGAGTTTCATATCGCCTTATTTTGCCGTATCATGTTTTTTCTCAAGTCGTCTAACGTTTTGTTCTCCATTGAACTAGATTTACGACCCTGATCCTACCAACAACCACGGATTTGCCTACCCCCCACAGGTCTCCAGACCACAATCTCCACACACAACGCCCTCAATTCTTCCTCTCTGACCTCCCCCCTCTTCCTACCGATAAACTTCATACTCGCGCATAACCATGGAGGTAGCCGAAAGCAGGGAACCTGTTTCGGTGGGTGCACCAGCTGGAGCAGACTCTGCCGTCACCAATGGCGAACAGAACCTCCTTCTGGACGACTCATTCATGGGTGATGATAGATCTAGCAGTTTGAGTGAGATTGATGACGTATCTGAAAATATTCCATCCGACTATGAGTCTCCGAAGCCCGATAAAGTGGCCCCGGAAAACGATTCAGAAGCGGAAACGGAGCGCATTGAGGACTCACCAAACTTCCGTTCAAAAACAAATATCGTCGTGAGTGCCTCTGGCTATGAGCCCAGTCCCAGCAAGCTGGCTCAGTCGACGACCTACGATGATGTGGAAGATGACGAAGAGCACGTGGCGGACGATTCCCCCAGTAAGCCCCGTGCTAAAACCACACGCACCGCTGAAGTGGACAATGATACACCCGGGCTCGATGACTCTGCGCTTTCAGAAAGCACTGGCAAGAAGCGCAAGCGGCTAGAGTCCGGTGACGAGGGGGGTATGGAAATCGACGAAGAAGATTTGCCGCCCCAGAAGCGCCGTGGCTCAGTCAAGAGTGACTTGAGCGACCCTCCGCCGGATGACCTCGTACTCACACCCGAGCCAATGGAAGAACCCCCAAAGCTTGTCGAGGAAGACATCGCAACCGACGACGTCCCCGAGTCGACCTTACCTGCGGTACCTGCTAAGGGTAAGAGAGCCAAGAAGGGTAAGCGGAAGGGTCGGAAAACCAGAGATGCCGACGATGAAGCCGATAACGGTGCGCTTGAGACCGGCGCAGAGGCCGATGACGTTGGCGATGATGATGCCGCGGAACGTGGTGAAGATGCGGATGACGGTGAAGCTGCTGCCGCCAAACTTGAGGAAGAGTGTAAGTTGCCCCAGAGATGCAGGCTCCAGTTACTCCGATTCTGATCTCCACACCTAGCAGCCAAGAGGATATCTGCGATGGATTCTCTCGCCGTATTAGAACGGGAGTTTGCGACCCTGCGAGACAAGTATGAACCCATGTGTATTTGTGTGTTACGAGCAGATTACTCACCACATGGCTGCTAGGATCTATGACGAGAGGATTTCAAAATTGAACCGAGAGCTAGAGATGCTCGACGCAAAGAATCCCACGCATCCTGAGTACCTGCGGCAGCTTGAATGCATCGGGCGGTATCGCGATACGAAAATCAAATACGAACAGACACTCTTTCAGTACAGGATGAAAGCCTTGTTGAACAAGAGCCTAGCTGAACGTGCTCAAGCGCATAGCACCTTCTTCCAACGGACACGAGACATTCGCGAAAAGCATTCAAGTGCGATCAGCAAGCAGTTCTACTCTATCCAGCACGATCGCTTCAAGACGGATGAGATTAGCCCGCAACATTACATTCCGTTCCCCACCCGCCGGTCACAGCAGATCGCCCACCAAACGGCGTACAATCAAGAGGTGTCTGTCATGGCAGGAGTTGCCAAATACGTCGGCTTTCCAGCTGCACCTGCACTGTCTGCTGCACGGCCATCGGAGCTTGATGAGGATCTGGAAAAGATGGGTGTAAGTCCAATCAGGCCATGAAGCTATTTCGACAGTGAACGTCCAATCTAACGTGGCATACGCAGATCTCCATCGAACCCCGAGTTCCCGCATCACAGGCTCAGTCCACGCTCCCGCGGGGTGCCATGCCGGCCATGTCATCGAACGTCTACCGCACAGCTGCAGAAGAAGCTTTCTTGGAGCAGACGCCATGGGCTAATCCGCAGCATCCCATACATCAGCACCAGCAGCTCCCACAACGACCGCAGAGTCGGGTCTTTGAGAATCCTCGGGCTCCTGTGTTCACAACACCCGCCGCACAAAAACGAGTGGTCGACATACACGCACCCAACGGGTCTGCCTCCACAATCGCCGAAAACTCCTCAGCCAACAACACCCCCTACGACCAAGAACAACACCCTCAACATCCCGGACCCTTTGCAAACCCCGACTACGAGGCGGAGAGGAGATCTGGGTTCCGATCATTAAGTTCCTCTCCCCTCGATGTACGCAAACCACATCCCGCCTCGTATAATACAACACTCGGTCACCGCTCTCCCCAAGGGACCTCTCAAAATGCCGCCTATTCACCACCTTCGGCCCGACTCGGTCTCTTCCAGTCGGCTACCGTGAAACGTGATTCCTCGCCGCCACTCTCATCTCGACCGGTCAACTCCATTCATCAGTCAACAGGACTCCTTGGCCCTGGGTCGAATCAGATGGCAGCGCGATAATGAAAATCTATCGCGCAACAGCAAACTCACCATCTACCATCATTTCTTCCGAGGTGTGGACATTCTCCATAGCTCAATGTACAGGGCTTCGCTTTCAGGTGTTGTAGAGTGTTTTTAATGTATGTACGGATTTGGCATGTATGACTGGCACCAACAGGGACGAATTCAAGTGATCTATCTATTCTGCAATTTCTGCCGGTTCCTCTTATCTCGCTGTTTTTTGATGAGGAACTGCTTTGGGGCAATGTGTGAATATGGGCGAACGGATGCATCGGCTGATAGCTAATACTTTTTGCTGGGGGTTTTCTTCTTGATCTTTTTTTCTCCAAACAAACACCGTCCTCTCTTCTTTCTTTCTTCTTATTTTTCTTGCTGTTCACGATACATACTACATATGCCCACGGTGTTATGTCTTGACCTTTTTGCTCTCTTGGCGTTGTTGGGATATGTGTATTCTTTTTCTGTTTATTACCACGGAAAGCCGTGCATAGGAGGTTTATTATTAGAATAGAAACTCTCTTCACTGATCAGTGCAACTCTCCAATTCTTATTTTATTCCTGTCCTTCGATCTTTCACCATATACGGTGTGGCACTAGTGCATCCGTATCACTCAGTAGGTACTGAGTCAAGACAGTAAGTGTCCTTACCAAGCCACAAGCCACGCGTACCGGATCATCACCTCCGCGCGGAATTAATTCCAAAGCTGATCAATACGCTCCCTTGGTATAGATTGAAACTCAGATAAATAGATTGGTAGATAGATAAGCCCCGCTAACTCGAATAAATGGATACCATCCCCCCCCTCCACATCTAGATAAGATAACTAACTACTGTAGTACTATAGTACTACTACCATGGAAGGAGAATCAGTTATGATTTAGCAGACAATGAGTTGATTGGCTATTTAGTCTATGCGAGTGACGCAATCAGAAAGGGCGGGGAATCACATCCGGCACAGAGGTAGGTATTGATAGATTTGCTTGTATGTATGTATGTATGTATGTATTCTCTTTCTTTGATTGTGTCTGTTGCAAGTTACAAAGTGATACATAACAGGGTAGGTATTTCTTTAGATGCGAGGGGGTGTGTTGGTATTGGTTACGGACGTTTCCTCTTCTTACTCAGGTGGTGGTTGGGGTGGCATCTGGTTGTGGTTGTTGTTGTTGTGGCGGCGGGGGAGTGGGGTTGGATTCATCCGTGCCGTTGGTGAGGGGAGTGTTGGACTCTGATGATGTGATAGGGCGGGATGCGAGGGTGGTTTGCTGCTGCTGCTGCTGAGGCTGAGATTGAGGAGTCTGGGATGGTGTTTGTTGCCCTTCTTGTTGTTGCTGTTGCTGCTCTTCGGTCTTCTTGGGACGCCATTTGGCGAGTAATTTACCGGCCAAGGGACGGGATTCTTCGTCTAAAGTGTGGGGTAGGATGGTTAGCGTTGGGGTAGTCTGTGCGGGGGAAGATTGCAACATACAGGTATCGTAGACGTCCTCGAGGGCGTTGAGACACATCTCCCGTGCGGGGGGTCGGAACATTATCAGGTACCTTGGAATGTTGTTAGCTTCTTGATATATGATCTTCTGGGTAGACTTGGAACATACAGTAGAGATTGAATGCAAAGATTCACGCGCTCTGGATCCTTTGCCAGACTGGCCACTCGCTTTGTGATTGGGATCGTCACCTCGGGTATCTCACTGAGGAAGCGGATGAAGATCTTCGTGTCCCGAGAGTCCAGGTACGGGAGGAACCCGTCCAGGAGTCGCAGGACCCAGTGGTCGTAGTGTAACGGGACTGTTACCTCCTCATCCTCCTCGCGCCGATGCTGCGCAGTAAACTCCATTTGCATCCGGTCGTTGTACCATTCCTCGTTAAGCCACATGATGCCAATGTTTACGCGACCGCGAAAGTCCTCTAGGATATATCGGTAGAGGGTCTCTCGGATAGAGTCCGATATTGGGGCCTTTCCCTTCTCGACTTTTCCGCTTCCCGGTTCCAGACCAGCTGGGGCCCGAGTGGCAAGTCTAGTGAGCAGGGTCACCCAAGCATCACGGTCGAAGGTGCTTCCAGCTAGGCGAGCAAAGCCTAGTTGCTGTTGACTCTTCCCTTTGGCTTGGTTAGGGGCAACTCCGGTGGACGTCAACATGCCAAACACTCTCCCAACAGCACTTCGACCAATGTCTGCGGCCTCATCTTCCGTCAGAGGCGGTGGCTGGGGTAGAACGAAAGGGCCTAGAGATACTAGGTCCGGTTGGAGGTCGGCCACTTCGGCGGATACGGCTTCCGCTTGTTCGGCTGCCGGTTCGGGAATGTCCATGGGCTGGTACTCGGGTTCGTAGTCGTCGTCATCTTCTGCCTCCGCTGGGGCTGCCGGAGGCTGTGCAGCCTGCTGCTTCTGAATTGTTTGATACCGCATACGTATCGCCTGCGGCTCCGTTAGCACTGGTTTTTATTCCTTATTTGGAGTTCAGCATACCTCGATAGACTGCTGCATCATCGACTGGTCGACACGACCTAGGAGAGGAACAACAATCTTGAGTACAATATCGGTAGGCAACTGCTTCACATCGAAGTTCGACAGCTCCCGGTCTTCGGTGAGCGTAAAGAGCTGTGAATAGCTAATCGGGCCTGGTGGCAACGGCGGAACCTTAATCAGGGCTGGCGTTTCAGCATCCAGTTTCGCACGTTTAGTGTTGTCTAGACCGTCCGTTGGCTCGGTAGGCAAACCGCGCTTCCGCGAGGCTTCGTCGGCGACTTCAATACGCGATTGCATCAATCGGTCGATATACTGCTGCATCTTGCCCGCCAGGGGGTGGTTGGGGTTCCTGGGTAGATCCATCAGCAATCCATCCGTTTATCTTATGCCACTATCTTGTCTCACCTCTTGAGTATATTGATCATCACTGCTCTGGCAGTCCGTTCCATCGACTTGACACCAACTCGGACCGAGGGAGTTATGGGAGCGCGCACTTGTCTCGCAGGGTAGAAGTTCATGATCGCGTTGATGATCTTATTGCCCACGGATGGTCGGGTTCGAATGAGGACGGCCAGGCAGTTCAAAGTCGCATTGACGAGAAGGGGATCACTTTGAAAGTATTAGCGACATTTTACGTTGACTACCGCGGATGGAAAGGGGTCTTAAATACCTTGATTCTTCTTGAAAGACAGACAAAAGTCGATCCAGCAATCCGGACGCCTCTGCTTCCAAGTTTGGGAGAGACAGGATAGCATGGTTTCGGGGCACAATGGCCAAGGAGGTCTCATTCTGGTCGGGTCGCTAGGAAGACAGCGTTAATCTCAGCGAGATACGCAAGATCTCAGTGAACATACTCTAGGGTCGGCGATGGGGCCATGCGTCTGCACGTGGACGACTCGCTGTACGAACTTGATACAGCAGATCTTGACGGGGAAAGGGAAGGAGTCCCATCGACGCAGGATGTCCTGTTTGATGGCTGTCATGTTCTCCCAGGCGGTTGCCTCTGCGGGGTGATTGATACTGCAAGGTAAAGCGTTAGTACACTGCGAAGCCCAGTGGGTGCTCTAAATCACATTGCAGCACCATGCAGCAATCTACGAGAGCTCTCCCGAGGGGGGCGAAACAGAAGCAAGCATCAGCCACCTACATATGCCTAAACACCAGCGGATACAAACTGGCCGCATTCTGCACTATATGTTTCAAAACCATGGGATCCTTTTCCGGCAATTCCAGTATCTCTCGTAATGTCTGCAGCACGTTCGGGGCCAATTGTTCCTTCTGAGTCGAAGCCAACGCGGGACTGGCAAACGTCTCGGCCAGAAACTCCGATCCCCATCGTCGCAACTCCAGGCGTGTATTTGCGCCAATTAGCGGAAGAACACCGTTCACGATCTGTGGGTAGAAGGCAGCATCGCCAAGGACGAGGTTTCGGGCGGCGTTGAGCTGGGCGATCTGATCGACGAGGTGATCGGTCGACTGAGCCATTACGACTGGTTCAATGGCCGACTGAGCCGGCCAGATGGAAGGAAGGACGAGGTTTGAAAGATCGGAATTGTAAAGCAAAAGGGGAACTGGTTGGGTTTGTCTACGCAGGGGAGGGGGAAATTCACGGTGCAAGCACCGGGCTTAGAATGCGACTAGATAATCTGCCGACGCGGCGCATACAGCGTAAAGGTGAGTACCAGTGATTGGCAAATATGAGGAGAAAGCAACGATGACTCGGGCGGAAACAAAGAGGTGATGTAGGTAAGAAATACCAACCGAGAAACCCGAGGAGGGAGAAGGAGAGGAGGAGGATAATGGTAGTTGTTGTTGGTGGAAGAAGTCAAGCTGAATGAATGGATGGACGGAAGCCGAAGCAGGAATCTGGCCGGCGCTTGACACAATGGTCACGTGAGTCTGTCTCGCGGCATCCACCGTCATTTAGTTCCCTTGTCCTGTCCCCCCATCCTCATTCCATATCTATTGACATCCTTTCTAACTGGACCGTCATTCTCATGCAGGAAGAGCTCAAAATTAATGTGCCTAATTGGTCGTTGACAATGGCATTTGGCCCCGATGCATCCTTAGTATAAATACTCATCATGCAGGTGTCATGGATTTTACCCTAGATCTTTTGATGATCGGCCGGCACTAAAATGCCTCGAGCACACCCATGGGTCCAGTATAAGATGGAACTTAGCAGCATGTGGATGTACTGAGCAGCACTGCTAGCCCTGTCTAAAGTGTCTTGTACCTGGCATCCTCAATTCAGAGGCAATGCTAGTAGAGTCAAAGAGAACTTCAGTCAACACTATCACGTAGTACAGTCCAGACAGCCATACACCACACTTCACCAGCCATTATCATGCCAAGATCCGGTTGAACAGTGGATCCTTCTCAAGCAATTGGGAATCCCCAGCTTTCAGGGTGATGCATACTTCCCACATTGGAGTCGACCCACTTTTCTCCAGGGACGTCCGTGACGGCAGAAAGATACACCCACCAGGGACAAGCGTGAGCCCGGGCTCGAAGTCTACAATGTGGCCCAGTCCAGCGCCAAAATCTAGCGAAAAGACCTTGAGACCTCTCCAGCTGGTTACAATGATCCCTGCGGGTCCTGCTTCAACCTTGGTCCAATCTTCATAGTCGGCGACGGCGGCTGATGCGCTATACATGAGAGTCTTGTCCATGGATGTAAGCTTCATGCGGGTACGCAGTGCCAACTGAGCTAGATGTAGGAGATCTGCATCATTCCCTGTCTGGCCTGCCATCTCTTCAGAATAGATATCATCATGGACAGGGAAGATAGCGTTCCCCAGGTAGGTCTCTGGTAGCGGAGGATCAACTCGGCTTCGCAAATCAACGGCCATTAGAAAATCGGCGCTTTGGGTTCTGTCTGCTCGCTCCGGGTGAAGGGCTCGGTCGACACAGATGGCCAGTGTTGCGGTAATAACATCGTTGCTAGAGATCCACTCTGAGGACTGCAACTGGGGCATGAGTTGAGTACAAATGTCCTTCACCTTGGCTACTTTCTCGGGTCGGAAGGTGTATCGCTTTGTCTCGACAATAGAGGACAAGGCAGATTCCATTGCATTCCATTGCTCAGTGGAAATGTTGGGATCAAAAACAGGCGTTCCCAACTCAATGCTGTGGTCGAGGCGCTTCACACATTTAGATGGAAAGTTTGCGACTTGCTTCCGGAGGTCATCATGGGTCTTCGCGATAGTCTGCACTAGGCTGGTTGTAATTTCTTTGTTGGTTGACTTGCAGCACTCGGCGACTGCTTCCAGGATCACACCGGCCCCGGTACCATCAAAGACGCTGTGCCAGAAGGACATGGCCACAATGATCCTGCTATGAAAGACATTTGCCTGAAAGCGAAGAACAGGACGCTGTTGGGAGGCTGGGATAAATGTGGGCAGAGGCAGATAGGACTGAATCGGGTGAGAATGAGAGTCTGCATCGCCGTCAAAGTGCTTGATCTTCAGCATTGGGACATCAGAAAGAGGAACACATGGGGGCGCAATATGCATTCGGTTCTTGGGCCCGTCTGGCACACTATAGAGAACCACATCTCCGGCGAGCCAGGGCAATTCTGAAATCAACCTGTCAATTCCTTTCTGGAGGGTGGAGAGGGCTGTCTGCGTGTCGGTCGTGTCGAAGTACAGGATATACGGCAGGAAGAGCTTCGCCGGGATGTGGTCAAGTGGGCTTAAAGCCAGCAGACCAGGGCTATCCGACATGCTGGAAGATTGATATGAGGAGAATTCAAGTGGAATAATACAGTAACGGAGTTTGATGTTGGTCAACGAGGTGATGATCCTCTCGCCGTTCAGACAAGATCTTTGATGCGAACCATGTCCTTGACAGGTTGCGGTCGTCCCATCCCTCCTGGATCCCCTTTAAAGCAGCCCACTACGGCCATTCAACTCCGAAATTAATAGACCAGATAACAAAGAAACGGTGTAACCGGGGTTGTTGTTAGTCTGACGCCGCCGCATACATAAATTGCGCCTCCCAGTAAGGTGCAAGATGCCATCAGACTCGAGCCAGTCAGGGCTGAGCCGGCTGATGCGGGTTCATGACAAAGTCCAAGAGCCATTCTCGCAGCATTACGCCTTGATTATGATCATCGATGGCTGACCTTTTCTTGTGTAACATATCTCTTTAATCTTTATGTCAATGGGCGAGGCATTGACACCATCTTGGCCGTGGCAGCCTCCGCGACCAACGGTCACTCTCCGGTTCATGCGCCAAGTGGGCCACTACGGCAGCCTCGAATCGAATGTTGGTTCATGTTCGCCTCAAACAACAAAGTGGCACAGCACCGGCCCACTTGGTCACTTTCAGGATTGGCTTCCCTGTTCGATAGATTAATTATCATTTCTATTATGTCTCTTAACAGGATATCTACCCTGCAGTCGGCCGCATGGGGGACGGATCCCTGCAAGTACACGCACTTAATCATTTCAGTAAACGGAATGTCGCGATGTCTGGATTTATCTTGACAGAAACGCCAGTCAGGGGGCTATTGTCGGTTTTTTTGTTTGCGGATGCCTCTTAACTGTTGCTATACTCGTTCAAGTCAGCTCCGAATGAGGAAATAAAACAAAGGCCAAGGAAGTCACCATAGCGGCTGACAAGAAAATGACCGGTACAGATGGCTCTGCGATGCATCTTCCTGATCCGGTGCCTCCAATGGTGTACACAGTGAGGGGAGTGATTGGCGCATTCAGTCTTCTCACCCTGATTGTTTGCTGTCTTAGAGTATGTTTACATTTCCGCAATGGCAGCATACACGGGCTGATTGACCTGCGTCTCCCTAGCTCTATCTTCGAGGATTTATCATGCACGCTCTCGGTCTGGATGACTGTCTTGTTCTTCTTGCCCTGGTATGTACTATTTTCACAGAGGATGAAGATGAACCCACTCATAACCGCACTGAGCAGTCCATGGTCCTTGTGTTCGCGGCCCTCTCCATCATTCTTACAACGTACGGGATTGGCTACCATCAGGATACTGTTCCTACTGCAGATATGATTATGACGGAGAAGGTTAGTGCCTTTTCTGTCCCTCTATAGACGCTGACTTACTGTTTCAGTACGTATATATCTTGTTCTGCCTATATATCTGGGTGGCCTTGGCTGTCAAATGTAGCCTTACTGTTTTTATCATGCGGGTTTTCCCAACCAAATGGATCCGGCGGATTGGTCTGGGAATCATGGTGCTCATGGTCATCGTGACAATTTCCGGGGAATTACCCTTGATCTTCCAGTGCTGGCCAGTGCAGGCAGCGTGGGATTCGACTATTCCTAACTCAAAGTGCTTTTCCAATGCTGTGTTAGAGGACCTCCAGCTGTATCAGGCAATCCTGATGTTATTATTCGATGTGAGCATTATCACTCTTCCGATGCCGACTATCTGGAAGCTTCAAATGCCTATTCAGCGTCGTTTATTCATTATTGGACTGTTTTGTCTTGGTATGTTTGCGGAGTCATCACTTTCCTTTACTGAACATCCTAGGCTGATTGATGAAGGATTCGTGGCATGCAGTGCCGGGCTGGCACGCATCCCGCTATTGGATTTCCAAGTCAACTCAACTGACTATACATGTATGACCTCTCTTCTCTCCGTTGATACAAATTCACTCCACTAACCGCACATCCTAGACGTCGGTGCTGTTCCACTCATATTGATGAACGTCGAATATGCGCTCGGCCTAATTACCGGCTCTTTACCATCGTTGCGCGTGCTTCTTAGAAACATTCCGGGGCTGAACAGCAGCAAAAAGAGCACCGATCCGAGCCGAGATTGGAGAAACGGCCCTGGTCATAGCGGATACCAGCTCAGCGAACGGAGTCACTGGGCCCTTAAATTCAAGGGCCAGGGTAGGCTCGATCTTGAGAGTTGCGATAACGAAAGCCAGCAGCAGATAGTCGTAACCACGACAGTGGAACAGGTATAGATACTGCTGATAAATGCTATCATTTTATTCTCTTCCTTATAGCCTGGGGCTTTCTAGCAGGGTATATAGCCATTGGTTTAAGGTATAAGAAGAAGTAATAGGAGGTAGTAGGGAATATACTAGTAGTAGATCTTACATGCAAGGTGATGGGAGGTAAATGAAAGCACCATACAGGTGAAAATCTCCCAGTTAGTTACTAGTATTACTACTGTCATGATTATTGAATGTGATCAAGCACTAAGAGTAGTAGTAGCCTTTAAAAGAAATATATAATTAGCAACTGATACTACTACAATTTCAAGAGAGTCCGAGCTGATGCTAATGCAACGTCAATGACCCGATCTACTGCATCTAAAACATAAGAAACCCATCAAGACAACGACATATGAGAGCATCAAGCAATAAAAACCAGTATACGGAGTATAGAGATAAACAAGTAGTTAAATCCCCGCGGCTCCGCCTCGGCCAGCAGCCACCACCAGCCCGCCAAGCCCGGGCCGAATCCCCCCAATGAAGGCGTCAGTCGATCCTCTCCAAAAGTTCCCCGTCCACCTCCGAAAAGAAAAAACGGCGCGCCCTCTCCAGAACCCTCACTCATCTCCAAGCCTCAACCAGTCACCACAGACTCAAGCCTTTCCACAATGCCTGCCGGAATGTACGTCTCAATATCCACATCCATTGCTTCTTACAACCCATCCCAGACAGAACACCCCACTACTACCTACTACCCCGATCAGCCCATCCCATCCATCGCAAGATAGAGAGACACACTGACTCATACCGTCAATAAAACTTACAGCTTCAACTCAACCTACTACGGCAAAGACTACCGCGCCGGAGCGGCCCTTCTCCGTGCCCGTCGTCCGTATCTGTTCAAGAATGCCTTGACCGGTCTGGCCTTGGTGTCTTTTACCATTAGTGTTTGTACGTTCCATACCTCCTACCCAGCTGCCCAGCTACCCAGCGTTGTCCTTGACACTATCGCTGTGCGCATGCGCAATTCTATCTCATTACAGTCCCCGGACCGCCCATTGAAAGAATAATGAAAGCTAATGTCACATCTGCTGTATAGACGCCTACACCATCCGCGCCGTCGGACAGGATGAGTTCTCGGACGTGAAGGTTCCCGATGAGCCGGCTAAGAAGCAATAATTGATTTGAATATTGCATTTGCGGAATACTGTTGTCGTTGTTTTATTATATTTTTGGTTTCAGCGTATGCTGATCGAGCTGTGTGTGTGTGCATGGATTGATTTGAATGTTTGATTGATTGATTGTTGATGGTGTATTGGGATTGGAGTTAGGTTTGAATAACTATGAATATACTGTATGTTTAACTTTTTGTGTGTTGGGTTTGTGCTGGGTTTTGGGGGGGGGGGGGTGTATGGTGGTTGATGGGGAGGATGTGATACTAGGGAAGGGAGGAGATGGATGTGTGTAGATGATGTTGCTGATCAAGTGGAAATCTCTGCTCGCGTCTAATTATTATTTATCTGTATATTATTCGAAGGATATCCGTGTTCAATATGTCATTATCATTCTGACAAGGTTCAGCTTGGTTGCTTAAGGGTAGAAAGAAGTATAGTCTACGCTTCTAACCAAATGCACAACTTCTATAATTCCGCCTATATGGTGGTGATGTGACACGTACAAGAACATGGAATTGAAAATGACATGCTAAGAAATGAAGAAGGGATCGATTTTACACCCAACCTGGTATCTATCAACGACACCAGGCCCTTTACTCGGTCCGCAGGACACGAGGGCCCTTGCGCTTGGTGGCGCGCTTGCGCTTGTGGCCCTTGTCAAAAGCCACCGCGTTGTTGTGGTCACGGCCGAGGTTGTCGAGATCCTTGACCTTGTAGATACGGATGATCCAGTTCTCACTGGTGAATGCCTCCTCGAGCGTGTTCAGCTGAGGGCCTTCCGCGGGAAGACGAGATCCACGCACGCGGTCAACGGCCTGGCCGGGACCGAACAAGGAGTTGAAGTTGTAGTAGGACATTTTGTACCTGCAGTCGTTGTTAGTATCATATCACTGCCATGGTAAATAGGGGAAATCTTACATCAAGCTGTTACGCATGGTGGGGGTGGCTCCGTCATCCACCCGGTACTCACCGCGGGCAGTGAAGAAGTCACGCTCCTTGACCTCGTCGGGCCAGATACCCTCGGCGATACGGACCATCCACAGGAACTTGTTGATGTCGTCACCGGAGTAGCCCAACAATCCACCAAACACCACCAGCACGTAATCAACATCGTGCTGACGGAGGATGGGGTAACTGACCTCCTCGCGGGAGCTCATCGCCTTACCAACAGTGGCAATGTGGGTGTTGTTCCACGTGTTGTTGTCAACCAGGGTAGGACGGTCCGCCATACCACCAATCTGGTAGCCGTAATCCCACCAGGACATGATCTTGGCGTTGTGCTCAGTGTTCTGGCGGAGCCAGTAGTACGCCTCACGGTAGTCATCGATAATGTGCTGGCTTCCATCAGGCAAGCGGCTCGCGAGAACCACAGACGGGGAGGAGTAGGCGTTGGAGGTGACCCAGGTGCAGTGCGCAACGAAGAGAAGCAGATAGATGACAACGGAGGAGGTCATGACAGCCTTGGACAGGTAGGACGTGACACCGACATCGGGCTTCCTGGTGGAACGAAGACCGTCCGAGTTGTCCTCGTTCGCCTTGGCGCGAGGGTTGGGGCCGTTCTTCGCGAACACATACGTGTCGAGAATGGTGGAGAGGGCCAGAGCAGCCGCAACACAAACAATAGGGGTCAGGGTCAACATCAGACGAACCATGACACCGGCGAAGTAACTGGCAAGCACCGAGTAGATGATGACAAAGACATGCTCATCCTTGAGATCGCGGAAGCACATGTAGACACCAGCAGGGAAGAGCCAGATCAAGAAGTTCAGATCAAAGAAGAAGGCGGGCCAAGCGGTGGGCTGGTGCTCGGAGACGGACGCAATGATAGGGATGTGGATCTTGGCATAGCCGGTATCCCACAGAGAGTAGAAACGACCGCTCCAAGGGGCAATCACTCCGGACACGGTGAGGACGACGAGTCCGACAAAAGCGATACCGAAGACAACGATGATCATGGTAGTCAGAAGTCTCTGGAAGTGCTTGCCCGGGATGAAACCACGGACGAAGTCAGCAAAGGCCACGAGCTGGATGAGGCCGAAGACACCTGGCAAGGTCAGTACAGATCCTCTTCTCTACAGACAATAAGAGTACACACCGAGTGCGGACATGTGATCACTGTTGCGAATTGGCAAGAATCCGACGAAGGGAATCTGCATACTGGCCAGAGTTCCCAGAGCATACCAAGTGGTGTAACTGATATAGATGCGGGAGCTGTATCTGCCCATGCACAGAAGAACGAAAACGTGCAGAGGGATCAAGTTAGTGATGAAGACATAACCACCCCAGGCAGACACCATGTAGCCGTAGAACAAAGCCGCCAGAGAACCCCACATGATGGAGCCGTTCTTGACAGCCTTGATCCACAGGAAGAAGGTGAACACCAGCAGGAAAATGGCGATGGCCTCGTTATCGTAACTGCCTGCGACGGAACGAGAGATGTATCCAGGGACGATACCCATGAAAGCAGCCGCAAGAAGACCAGCGGAGGGGGATGTCGCCATCTCGCGAGTCAGGAAGTACATTGCCAGCGCAGTCAGACCGGAGAAGGCCGGGGCAAGCAAGACACAGATGTTACGGATATCGACAGGGATGGTGAGGAAACGCAAGACGTGGTAGATAACACCGCTGGTCACCATCAGACCGGGGTATAGCGTGCCACCAGTGACACGTCCCAGGGGGTGCCATGTTCCTGAGCAGCGTCGTCAATCAGTATATGCAGGTAAAGCATGCTTGGCAGAAAGAACGTACGGTCGTCGAACCAGTCCCAGAAGCTCTCAAAGCCATGGGAGACCAGGTATTTTGTTGCGCGGAAGTTGAACCAGGGGTCGACTGTAGAAGGGAGCTACATTAGCATCGGTTGCCTCTGAATGGAGCTGCCTGCACACGGTGTCGAATGCCGGATCCGCGGTAGCGTCAAGGTATAGATGGAGGATTGGTATCAAAACATACATTCGTGAATAATACTCTCGAATCCTAGAGGGTCAATGTTAGTGACGATAACTCAATTGAACAATTATATGAGTCAAGAGACATACGGATAACACTGAACAGACGACTGGACACAGCAGCGGCGGCAATGGTAGCTAGAATGATAATCCGCAGAAGGCCGCGTGTTGTTCTGCCGGAGTTACCCTTCAAGAGGACATCGAGGGGTGATTCGGCCATAATGGCCAGGGGAGAAAAGAATCAAAATCCAATGGGAAAGAAGATGAGCAAACAGCCCTCGACCTGTCCCGGGAGCTGATGAGAGGGAAGGGTTGGGTGGTGATGTGAACGGGGGAATGAATTGAAGAGTGTCGAGAGCTTCGCAAGGTGGTCTCTTCTGGGGCTTGGCGCCAGGTACGTAAGTCACCCAAGTCAAACCACAATACTTTGTTACTAGTTCCCTTTTCCCGTTGCGGGTTTGGGGGATTTCCTCCGAAACGTCCCCGCACCGTCAGTGCTTAGTATCAGCGCAAGTCTAGTCGACCATCAGTCGAACATCCGAATCGTTACGCCCTGTTTCAAGAATATTCATTTGAGAATTAATACTCGAACTCTCGCGATCGCTCAACGGTCATCTCGCCATGGATCTTCCCCCACTCACACAAGAGCAACTGACCGCCGTCGTTGCCTCTGCTAAAACGCCGACGGAGCTCTACGAAACACTATCAAACTATGAAAGCGAAGCTTGTCTGCTCTCTATGAAAAAGGGCAACCACACGGAGCTACTCAGTCTTTATTATTCTACATTCTTCTTCTCCAACCTTCTTGTAGACAAAATGTGAGATATCCCGAGCTACTCCCCCACAGTTGGCAAATCGCTAATCCGCAGTTACCCAGTCCCGAAGCTCGTTTATCGACACAACGCGTGCCACAAGAATTACTACAAAATGACTCGTCACTACAGAACTGCTTGACACTTCTCCGAGCGGTCTGGCAACGGAAATATGAACAAGTGTATAAGATTCTGCGAGAACTGCCGTGGCCAGAAGCACTCCGACCCATAGTCCAGAGTTATGAATGTAAGGCAAACCATCCTCTCAAATATGCCTTGCCTTTGCTACATCCTTCATATACTAACCTTACCTAGCTCATTTCCAGGAAAAGACGTTAAAGGAAGTCAGCAGAGCCTATGAGGCGATAAGGCCAGCAGCCGCTGCAACCTATCTCGGTCTGGATGCTGCCGCCGCACAACAGGGTGACCCGGCCATCATGCAGAAGTTCATAGCGTATGGATGGACATGGGATCAGGAAAAAGGGTTGTTGCACCCGAAACCGATCGTCGACGAAGCCCCTCAGAAAGATGTTCGGTTGTATAATGAACTGAGTCAGGTCATGGCCTTGATCGGAAATCGCCGGAATTAAGAGTATCTGGGAGTCTGCAAAAACAGGGGCTACCTTGCAACTCGATTTATCCTACAGTAATAGGCGGGACATGACGGAGAGATCGGATGACTACATATCTAGAGCGCAACATCCAGAGTCCGCACGTAACGACTTGACGGCGTCACAGAGCATATCATAGAACAGCCCCATAACAATGGGCATAATATTGCGCAAGCGCACTCAGTACGAGAAGAAGATCAGCAATGAAACCGAAGCATACAGAATCTCTTGCTCTTCTGGTCCAACTGTAGTGATACAGACGCACAACAGCCCAGGGTATGTACAAGATGCGGGGATGATGTCTATAGGGGAAAAAGAAAAATCATTCCTTTCGCTCGCAATGACACGACTCTGGGAAATTAGACCAAACAATAATACATAATCGGGGCCGACCCGAGATCTCTCGCCTATACCTTCAAAGAGGTACGACTCTTAGAGAGATAACTGCAACTTCATCTGCGTGCCGTATACTTCGATTCCATTCTAGTTCTCGCCAGCCTTCATCTTCAGGAAAGCCTCAAGGTCAAACCGGCTGTCCTCGGGATCCGTAATGACTGTGCAAGTTCCCTAGTTAGCATTGGGGGGTCCGGTACATGCCGCTGGGGGTTCCAATGGGGACTGCAATTCGGCACTGGTAAAGGGGATTCAGAGTATGGAAAAGCTAGCACCAAGACGTACCTCCGCTGTTTTGCGTGTCCTTGGGCGCCGTCTTCTTCCTCCACTCAGCCTTGGCCTGCTCGATCAGGCGCTCCTGGCGGGCATATTCGCGTTCGGCCTCGGCGTGCTTAGCAGTGGCGGTGATCGAAGACTGGTGGTAGAAACCGTAGACGAGACCGGCAACGAGGGCC